TTTGATAACAATAGTATGACAGTATTAACAGCATGACAACAACAAGCAGTATGACGCTTTTCCGTTTAATGTACGTTGAAGGATGCATCATGATTGATGTAAACTGTTGAAGATAGTTCTAAAGTTCGAAAAAAAAAGGAAAGGAATAAAGAATTCAGAAAAAGAACTATGACGGAAGTAGACGGATATATTCAGGTTGAAAATCGATCGGATTTGTTTCCACATTGCTCCTGATCTTTTCATGAATCGGTATTATCATAATTCCTGTTATTCTTTTCTTTAGACAAGCTATAGGATGACTCGTACACCTATGTGATGAAATGTTGCTAAATGAATGATAATGGTAGTAAATTTTGATCTCAGTGCTGCATTCATATTATAATTTTTCGGTTTCCCGATCAGTATTTATATCAAAATAATCGCAAACATAAGATTGTTTAGCTCAGAGGCCAAATAATTTCATTGTGCAATTATTTCGGTTTTTTGATACTATCTATTCTGCTGCATAGTTAAAAACAATAGTCCCAAGTAATGCTAAGCTAATCAGAATTACGCTACCAACATGGCAACAGAATTTCGCCTGAGTACTTCAAAAGCATAAATTAACTAGTCTTTTTGAATGTAAGAACATTGGTTTTTGACTAACAAGGTTTTCGACTATCGAGATCAGAGAAAGCAATTAATTGCTATCTGTTTCAAGATTGATATAATTTTCGAGGAAAGATTAGGTAATTTATTTTTTGTTGTTTTAACTCCGCTACATTGATAGTAACCTTCATCGGTTTTATACAATGTATTACAATATCGCACTGAAACAATAATATAAAAATGAACAATATACATTAAAAGAAAAAACAAACATAAATAGCTTATTTTTAACATTTTTCATAGCAAGGTTAACGCTTACTTATGTCAATTACCTATCAATGGTAATGGTTTTTTTTTGAAAGTACGAATTGATTTATAAAGTTCTAAAAAGTTTTTCTTTAAACTTCTAAAAAGCTAAAAATCAATGATAGTCACTTCTAAAAAGTGGTGAAATAAAGTGTAAGCAAACAATAGTCAATGACAGTCATAAATAGTAGATGATTATTAGGCAGACAATCTATATAAGAATGTGAATGGCTCATTTGATCAAAATCTTAATTCCAATCTTTATGTCCGAAAGAACGGAAGGAAATCGTAATACGTCCAAACAGCTAATGAATTTGTTGTAAAAAAACGTTTCTGTGTTAAAAGGCTCATCACATTATACAAAAAATATATACAACTTTTTTTTACTATATCTAAAGTGATGAGCCTGTTATCTAAGCTCAATCGTGTGAAAATGCTTTTCCTTTGATATTGAAATTGCACACATACGCTAACTAATTTAAAACCGTGAGAAAGCTGCATATCCAAAAATAATTCCCATACAATTTCCTCTTGGACAAGAGGAAATAAAAAAAAGCAATCCGGTATGTTATCGTAAGCTTAACCCACTTATGGGCAATATAAAAGCTCCGAAAATGAATTCCGAAATTCTTAAAATAAACTTTCTTGGTCGGAACCCAAAGAGCGCTTCTTTTGTCTCGCTCAACTCGTCGATTCATTATTTCCGTTTAAATTTATGGTATCTCCTATTCCATCTTCTATTTCCATTACCAAATACTATTGTGTTATAATAGTTGCTGTACTTCCACTATTCAATAAACCTTTCTCTTGCGATTTAACACATCAAAATGAATCTTTCCTGTCACTCTGTATCTGTACAGACAATGGAACAACAAAAAATATTGTACACCCTGAGAAGAAAAGAAGAGATAAATATTTTTAATATACAGTAAGCAGACAGTTTTCATTGGTGGCAAAATATTTTACAAATAGTGAAATTTTTTCAATTTTTTATTCTTATTGCCAAATAGTACCCAATGAGAGTCATCTGGAATATCGTCGTCTTCTATGACATCCTCATGACTCGACTGATTCAGTTGAACTACTTGAACTGTTACACTTTGGCCGGAAAAGCCATCAAAGGGAACAGTAAGTGGTGTTGTGAAAAAATTATTCTTTCCTTTTATCGAGTTGTTTAGATTTTGAAGGTTTAGCCTTGAGTTAGGATCAAGCAGAACTTTAATTAAAGGCTTATCATGTGAAGACGTCGAATATACATTGTGAGGACACAGAGTTATTTTTATTGAAGAATAACGAATATTAAAGAATAACGATCATTGAAGAATAACGAGTAGAAAATCGCTTGACCGTGAGTCAAAAGCTGTTGTAAGAATACTATGAAAGAACACTAGTCCAGGAAAACCTTTTTACAAAGGGTTTATGTCTATAAAGAAGTAGGAGTGGTTTACATAAAACATTAAAAGAGCGTATTCATTTAGATACAAAAGAAACTGTAAAGATCCAATTACATAATAAGTGTTGTAACAAGATCAAATGGGAAGGTTAGCATGTAAATTGGGCATCCTTTGTCATTAAAATAAGGATGTGAAATTTTGTTAGACAAAGATAACAAAAGAAACGTATGGGAGATAATTTTAAAGAATGTAAATTGGTGAATGAATGCAGTGATGAATCATTAGAAATATTCTAAGCATTTAATGTACAAATTCATTCGGGTTTTCCGACAAGTGGGTAGAAATAGATAGGAATGGCATTTTGTAAACCAGGATAATGAACGATAGTGTTATCCCAAGTAATGCTAAGATAATCAAAATTATGTTATCAATATGGCGAAAAGTTTCGTTTAAATATTACAAAAATTTAAAGTTTAAGCATGAATTACTAGTTTATTTGAATGTAATAGGTTTTCGACTGTCAAGATCAGAGAAAGCAATCAATTGCTGTTTCAAGAATGATAAAAATTTACGAGAAAAAGCTAGGTAGTTTATTTT